TAAATTATAATTAAAATAAGATCGTAAGTGAAGATGATCGTAAGACAAGATTGTATATCCTATATTTAAAAGAATCCACATTTCGACACTATTAACATTAAAACTTGGAAACTCATTTATTCTGCCACATTTAATGTATGGATGTAACATTGTGCCACGGATATCTTGACCGTTCATATATATTTCGTTGTCATGTGTAGTGAGCAAAGATAAATCAAATTACAAAAGAGGTCTCATTAAGAGAGTACGTACTGTAGTGCGATGCATACAAAACATGCGTTACAAATATTATCTACATTTATATAGCACGTTTTGTGACGTTATACAGAATAAGCCAACTAACATTCTGATTGCTTAAAGGAAAACTGACAGTCAGTTTTCCTTTAAGCAATTTTAGAATTTATTCACCTAACTCAAGAACTAATAATTAATTGTTATCATATTGGATTATTCACACGAATAATCGTATTCCAACAATTCCAAAAAAACACGTTGGAAACATAATTGAGTTGTCATAAATATCACACTGTCGACCCTCTCTCCCTTAGTGTTTGACGAAATTTATGAATGCAACATAACTTGTAACTGCGGTAGGTCGAGATCGTTGCATTAATTTACTAACTTTTATGTATTACTATAAACTATACAACAAAATAGTATTTCAGCAAATTTACAACCTAGTCTAGTTAACCATTTCACAAGGCGGCTAATGTACGCTAAAGGTCGAGTACATACCTAATACAAAACGGCTAATATTAATACAGTTGTTACAGAGTCAAAAATGAATTTTGTTTCAATTTCGAGGAGGACAGGGAAGGCAATTGTGGCTCTGAGTTGATAGATTTAACTGAAATGATGAGTAAAGTATAATTTTATTTAACATACACTATATTAAACAGACAATAAACGCAACCTTTGATCTTTTAAATTAAATCTGCTAATTTACTTCTTTGCTACGTGTAAAATTCGAAAATATCACACGTGACCAACTAACGCCACACACATTTGTCATTTAAGAATCTTTTAATTTCATAATCGTCTTTGGCTTCGTAAGTATCTTTTTAAGTACTGCAATTCACACAGAATATTAATAATATTAATTCATGTGCATGTTAGTTTATAAGGTATTTATAATATATGCCATGAGACTGAAATAATAAATAAAATAAATAGAATCAAAAGAGCATTAGTTACCTTCCCTTTACATGTTTTAACCTATAGGACATAGCAAATAAGCCGCACAGTCATAACCAACTCGTATATAGACAAACATCATGGACCGTACATAGCTAAATCTATTATTACATAAATTGTATTTTATTCTGTGGTATACAGGAAATCAGTGTTTGCATAAAATGCATTTTTACTCTCTGGTATACGGTGGTAATCGTAACGTTTCTACAAGAAGTAAAATGCATAATTAAAAATAATTTTCAAATAGCTGGCTTTTACAGCATAACGAAAATGTGGGTGAGTGTGCACTCCAAACCCGCGGAAGGACTCATGGAGCGGCTGAAGGCCAACTCCTGCATGACGGATACGACTTTAGTCTGAGGGCAGGGGAACTAGGGACGAACCTCGGTACAGACTGTTGTCATTTCGATCTCCGTTGAATTGGACGGGGGATAGTGTAACGTCCATGATGTCCCCCAATACGTTGCTATTCCTTAGGACTACCTTAGCTATACCTACATATCCTCCACCTACAGCCAAATATTTAAGCAAGTAAGTCTATATTGGTCACATTAACACTATACAATTGGCATTGATATGCAAAAATATGGTTCTGAAAACTACACTAAAGTGAATTGACTCTAAATATAAATTAGGTTTAATTCTACAATATAAATAGTTTTTACACACGGCACAGGTAATGTATTTTATCGATATCTGTATTTATACCTATATGAATTATTTAGGAGTTTCTGTAGCTATATCGTATCAAACATACTAGTAATATAGTTTGTACAATATTTTGTATCTGTAACCTGCACCCCCATAGTATTCCGGGGGGTCCATATTAATACCGGGCCTAGTGTGGACGTCCATTCAACATGGGCCACTCAGCACCAGGACTCCCACCCTCAAAGCATCCTCCGAGTAGCCGGATTACAGGAGACGCCACGCTTACAGGTACAAAAGACTAGGATTCGGTTAGTGTCTGTATTATATCCATATATTAAATCGATAAAACAGAATATCTGTGCTAGTGACGTCCCCACTATTAAACTTAAGGCAAGCCCTGTCTTAGATATTTATAATAATTGTCCCATACCCAATTTAAAATAGCCAATACGACCATAATTTACATTATAAGTTTGAACATTATTAAGGTTCTATTGAATTCAAAGACTATTAAACAATGGAGTAAAGGATATACGTGCGTATCAAATACATGGAACAATAGTGTTTGTAATGTTTTCTTATTAGTTTTAATGTATTTTTATGCACAATTAAAAATATATGAGCATTCTGCACTTCTCTATATAAACTATAAGTGTGCAAAATTTCATACTTTTCCGTCCGAGTAATTTTAGAAAAAAAGGGGTATAAAGTTTTTGCTTCAGTATATACTGTTTTTTGATGGCGATTGAATACATATAGGTATATATATCTCCACATCATTTCATTCCTATTCACATATTTTCTATGAATATTATAGAACTCAAGTTATTAATACAAGCTTGCCTTACAGACCTTGAGTTTTCAGACTTCAATACGGGCTTGCCTTATAGGTACGTCACTGCCAACGTCGTGTGTTACAAACTTAAATAACATTAATGACACTGTTACAACACTAAAGCACTTAAAGCGAGTGGAATGACCTCGATACTACGAAATACAAAGTATGTCGTGTTTCTGTAAGGATGTCATAGTCTCATAATGGCAACCCTGGAGTTAACGCTTTCAAATTAAATCAATCACAGATAGAATTTTAGTAGATAACTGAAGGTAATTACAACGAGACATAAAACATTTACAAACCAATCTGAATACCTATCGCTTTTAAGCGGTATTGAATCGTATTTATCTTAATAATATTATAAACGGAAATGTTTGTATATATGGATGTTTGTTACTCTTTCACACAAAAACTATTGAACGGATTTTAATGAAACTTTACAGTAACATAGCTTATGCATCAGAATAACACATAGGCTATATTTTATATTGAAATTTAACGCGAGTGAAACCGCGGGCACAAATAGAATAATAATAATAATTAGGGTAAGACCTGTCTGTTTGAAGGCTTTACCCCGTTTAGTTAAAAGGGAGATATACAATATAAGGGAGATATAAATGTTATTTATGTTTAATTAACAGTCTAAAAATAAGTTTCAAGCTTTAAAAATGACGATACTTCCATACAACCTTTCATCTCCCGTTTCAACCTATATGTCGCATTAAAAAGCCTGTCTCAGGTCTGGACTATCTGTGTGCCAAATTTCATCTAAATCGGTTCAGTAGATTTGGCGTAAAAGCGCGACAGGCAGTTACTTTAAACATAATATTTCTCGTTATAAACACACTTCAATTAACTACAACTTCATCACTACCTACTACCTCAGAACAACAACGAAACAGCTACACATAACTACATCACTATCGCACCTAATTTAGTAAGAATAATTAAAAAATATAAAAGTATTTACATTGCACGAAAAAAATGTATATTATTATAAAAATTGCGTTTAAAAAGTAAACAAAGCGCTTACCGCTATAATTAACGAGTACACCGTCGTACATTCACAGCAGTGGAACAGACAAATACATTGTATTGTCTAATTTTTACCTTGCAAGTCTATCACATTTCGACAATAGTAATAGCAAATATTCCAGCAAACTAGGACAATACTTTATATTCGTAATAAATTTAATTTAAACAGTACATCAGTTAACTGGCTTTGAAACTGACTCTTTTAGGATAAAAAATCGTAGGTTACTATTTATTTATTACATTTCAATGACCTATCCAAACTAAATCAAACTAGAGATATATATTAGGGGAGTTTTTTTACTATTACCATATTTTTTATTCACGGTAAATATATTTTAAGCAGTACCTGAGACACCGTAATGAGTGATTTAAAAGTCTAAATTGTCCTTGTAGGATAAAAAAAATTGTAGGGCATTATTTTTATCTGTTATACATTTAAAGCCGTTTTCATGAATTCTGGAATATAAAAAGCTATACTCTCAATCACCTGTCCAAATTAAATGAATTTAGAGAGATCTATTATAGGGAGTTTTTCTATTACCGTATTTTTCATTCGCGGTAAATATGTTTATACAATACCTGAGTACTTTTTTCTATTATACATATAAAATCGAATTGCACGAATTCTAGAATAGTTATATGCTCATTATTTGTATTATAAACTGGGTCTTAACACGAATAATTTTATGGTAAATAAATCCTACCTATGTATGTCGATTATAATTATTCGTTTTAAGACCCAGTTAATAATATAAATAATTTATATTAAAAACGAGAGTTTAACAATAGTTATATTCTCAATCACCTGGCCAAACTAAACTATATTAGAAAGAGCTATTACGGGTACTTTTTCACTATACTACCGTTACTTTCCGTACGGTCCGTGTTAAAATTTTGATTATTATAAAGGCTTACATTGCATTGTTAAAGTCCCCCACATGATGACATTATTACAGAAACACATATAACGCCTTATTCATAAAAAAAGTAAAACAAAAAAATTATATTTCTAGAACCATTTTAAAATTAACTCTTTTATAAATAAAAAAAATATTAAATCCTTTTACAATAATTGGCGAAGATATGGCGCAATATATACAAAAAAGTCGAAAAAGCTAGCTATTCCTTTTTTGAAAAGGACTAAAATTTTAAATATATTAAATAACTTCTACACATCTTTTGCTGTAGAACTCCAAGACAAAAAAAAAAGTTTTACATTTTTATGAACAAGGAATCTAATCGTTATAAATAATAAAAAGTCAATGAGATAAATTCGTTAGGTTTACGAGCGCAGACAGCACGAGGTGTCACCGACTGAGGTGGTCTTCCCGTTGATGGGTCCTAAACTGCCGTCGTATTTTGGTAGCTCCTTGCATTTTGCTTGCTGAAACAATGATACCAGGATTTAAATTCGTATTTCTTATATTCCTTAACGTTCACTGTCTCTACAGTTGTTTCAAACGCACCAGGAGTTTGTACATTTGACTATGAGTTATCTTTTTACTAGCTGAGCCGCGCAACTTTGTCTGCATCACGTTTATTTGACATTTATTATATTCATATCAACGATTGTCAATTTAATATCCTTAGACAATTCACACGGCGTTATCTAACCCCGAGCTGAGTAGAACTGGGTACTAGACTATGGATACAAAACATAGATACGTTTTTTGTAAATACATACATAATATATTCATGGATACAATTTTCACCATTAGCGGTGTACTAAACTGTCAGACCAACGAGCCGCCAATTATTTTCTTATTTTGGTTTCTCACCCCGCCTACCTCGTCTGGAGACGCACTATAATCAAGCATTCGCCATTATTCATCGCCATTCGTCATAACATCCAATGCATATACCTCCATCAGTTCGACAGCTATCTCCATAAACAGTCGCTCCACATTCTCAGCCTCCTTTGCTGAAGTTTCCAGGAAGTACATGCCGTGCCGCTGAGCGAAGTCCTCGCCGATATGCCTCGGTATCTCCCTGTCTTCTCTGTCTGTTTTATTACCTGTTGAACACATTCATTTTATAGTGTTTGTGTGTATAAGTTGGAGTGTGTGCCTGTTGTTATGTTCCTTACTCTTCAGGTAATGCTTTCAGATGTCAAATACACAGTATATTTTTCGATTAATATAAAGAAGATATAAAAAAACTTCCATTTCTAAAGATAAAAACTTTTCTTATTACTATTCAATGATTCTGCGGCATTACTACATTGAGCCATTTAATTTTTTTTAAATTAACATGGTGACAATAACGTTATGTCATGAAACTATAGACAAGTTTCATTATCAGTTGTTGTTTTATTATCAGTTACCTTGTCTCACCCCACACTCCAACTTATACCCATCAGAAAAACAATCCGCCCATTTAATGATGTTAATTTGGTTATCATACCAGTAACATATAAATATAAATAGAAATAACAAAATTATTTTTATTTTATTGGGGGGTTTGGGCTATTACCAGGTGCAATGACCTGTAATACTGCGATCTGTATAGATCTATTGTGCTCGTCCATTTTCAAAGCTCGCTACCTAGACCCGTAAAGGACAAGAATTGAAGGATATTCTTAGGAGCAATGGTTTTTATCTTTTCAGGATATAGTGTATACTTTCCAAAGGAGATATTTCGTTTATGCATAAGAGGGCTACAGCCACATAGGATGTGCAGTGGCATCTCCTCTTCTGCTTGGCAAAATCTGCAGGTTGATGTTAAGCTAAAGCCTAATTTCGCCATGTGCTTATTCAGCTTGCAGTGTCCAGTGAGGACCCTAGTCATGATGCATATATTGTTTTTACTCAATAGTAGAAGTCTATTGGGGGTATTGATTCGAGTAGCCCGTTATTAGGGCTTTTGAATGTACTAATCCTGACATATTCTGCCAATGATTAAGTGCTTCTCGTTTAGTTACTATTTTGAGATGTCCTAGTTTTAGGCAACAAGGCAAATAACACAATACAAGTCACTACATAAAAAAAAGATAAGTAACACTCACCCACTAATATCCTAAGCACTTTATTATTAGCATACTCTTCAATCTCTCGCAGCCAATCAGGCAAGCAATCAAATGTGGGCTGGCAAGATATGTCATACACCAATATGAGAGCATGTGCTGATCTGTAGTAGCTCTGTGTTATTGATCTGAACCTCTCTTGACCAGCTGTGTCCCATATTTGCAACTGAAAAATAAACTTCATTAAGACACGTAAAAAAAGCGACTTCATCCGCATGGAATCTAACTTAATTTTTCTAAAATAAAAGTAGCCTAAGTTACTCATTACATCAGCTACCTGCCAAAAAAAATAGTCCCATCAAAATTAGTCCAGCCATTTCAGAGATTAGCCATAACAGACACAGATAGACAGACAAAAATTGTAAAAAGTGTTATTTTGTATGTATCATATTTATATTCATATGCATGTAGTAAAAAACGGTTATTTCAATATTACAAACAACACTTCAATTTTATTTATATGTATAGATGACAACAGAATGGTATGTTCTGGTGGGTCATAAGTGGATGATGATAGAATGAATATAAATAGTCTGACCTCTTAGTGCATTATGACAAATTCAACACTAATTCATTTGAATCTAAAGAGGCCTACATCATAACAGTCATAAGTTTAACACAATATTTGTAGTTTTTAGATGGATTCTAAACTTTGTTTCATATCATTTGAAAATTTTAAGAGTTCCTTTGTTTACAAAGGAACTGTTGAAATTTCTTGTTATAGTTATAGTTAAGTGTACTATATGTTTACTTGTATATTGAGTGTTTTAATGCTAAGCAATTTTTGTGTGAACAATGTATGTATACAATGTCTGTATTTGGTACTAATCCATCTTTACTAAATTGAGTAGTACAAGTTACATACATTAAGCATGCAGTAGACAACCTGTTCAAGTTAAATACATACAAAAAATATACAGAAGTTGCTGCTTAAATAATCAATAGCACTACAATTACAATTAAATTATGACCTCTCACTACAAACGTAATGCATTTGAGCAATGACTGTAGCAAAACCCTATGAGCAATTTTTTTTCAAGTTATTTTGTTTTTGCCAAGTAAAAAACTTCATCAATTAATTCTAACTTAATAAGTTTTCTTCAATTCTTCTATACCTTTTTTAATATGCTGTTTGTATCTGTAGATCTGTAAGTGTAACTGTAGCATCTTAGTTCCTAATCTTAGTGAGTGTACCAATTATGATGCTGTTATTTTTTAATGCCAATGTGATCAATATTGTTCTTAGTTCTAAGAATTTATTCTTTTTTTTTGTTTGGAGGCGACTTAAAACTGTTCATTTTATAATTGTTTATACAAAAGTTGTTCCTATAGTTGAAAACTTATTGAATCAAACATTGGAAATAAAGTGGAATAATTTTAAACAGCTGTATGACTTTCCCAATTTCGTTATTTTAATGTTACTAATTGACAGTCAGTATTTGTAGTCATACTAGCAAGAATACTGTATGTAGAATAATAGATGAAAGTAATTAAGTAATTCTCATGTAACTCCTAATTAGATAATACAAATGTTTTTTATGCATGAGGTTGGTGAATTAAATTATCATTAACGCAACTTAAGTTCCATTTTCACATCATAAACAAAACATATGGTCATTTCTCATCAAACAGATGATTGGCAAAATGATGCAATATGATGAGCAGAAATAACTAAGATTACTAAAACTTACCTTCACTTTCTCGCCGTCCACTTCTACGGTCTTTATCATGAAGTCGACGCCTATTGTGGCTCCCTGTCCCGGGGGGAATAGACCTTGAGTAAATCTTCGCACTAAACATGTCTTGCCAACACCCGCATTACCTACTAACACTACTTTGAACAAAAACTTATAATCCTCCATAGCGAGAAGGAGCACCGTATCACATTCGTAAATGTAGGAATACCAAAGCAATTACTTGAAATACATAACAATAAATTATTTTCGACATTCACTGTTACGCTTTGTTGAATTGACAGCTCGTTATTTTATGATAATGTTAGAATATTCGATTTGTGCGATATTATTGCAATCTAATTTAACATTAGAGATTAGATAAATATGAAAAATTCAATAATCACAATACAAATAATATCAAGACAATTATGTCCAATACCAAACAGAATAAAAGTAAATTTTCGACATTTCACAAGTTTGACAACCACAGATTAGATGTTTAAGATGTCAATTCTGTTTCGACATTTCACAAATTTTGCACAAATCACACCAAATACACCAATATCACTTCGATGCGAATATAAACACTGAAATTGAAGCACAGACAGGCTGATTGACAGTACAGAGTACTTTATTTTATAAACTATTAAAACTATTTTGCCATACTTTGTTGTACAGCAATAATAAACACATTTATTTATTTTATTTTAAATAATTGTCTTGCAGAGGTCTTTATTAGGTCAGAGGTTGTCAGAGGAAATATCTTTTATAATTTGTTAAGAAATGTTTGATAAGTAATAAAGTAAAAAAACATGTCAAAAGTTAATAAAAGAAAGCATGTTATGAATGAAGCATTGTGGGACGACTATGAACTTCCTAAAGAAAATCAGAGCGTAGTACGGGTATTAAAAAGTAAAGGAAACAATTTACATGAGGTACGATTTGATTCCATTTGCTTTGATATCGGCACATTTTAGTTAATAATCCACAATTAAAGTAAGTTTGGTTATTACTCTTCGCTCCCCATATTGATTGGTCCAGCACTATTTGAATCCCTTCATACATACCTTGAGTTTTTTTCTGTAACCCCTTATTTAATAACTTCAGAATGAGAAAATTCTCAAGTGGTCTGTATTTTTTCGTGCAATATAATTATCTGCACCTATTTTGATTCAATATTTTGCGATCACTACAGTTTGTATCTTTGTTGCTTCTATAATAATTATATCTCAATTATTATTGAGTAAAGAAATCAATTTGTTATTAGGTCAGTACACCCAATGGAGAAGAATATTTAGTGTCCATGCCAACAAAATTCCGCAAAAACATATGGGTGAAGAGAGGTGATTACATCCTTGTGGAACCAATACTGGAAGGTGATAAAGTGAAAGCGGAAATTGTTAAAATAATGAATAAGGACTCTATAAAATATTACAAAGAGAACAGTCTGTGGCCAAAGGAATTTGATGATGGCAAAAAAGAAGAGAATAGAATTAATAATGGTGATGATGATGATGATGACTTATTTGTGAATACCAATAGGAAAAATATAAATGTATATGAAAGTGACAGTGAATCTAGTGATGACAGTGACTCTAATAGTGATAGTGAGAGAGGCAGTTCTAATAAATAATATTTCTGTATTCATCTTTTTTATTTAATTTTATATAACAGTCTCCGAACCTGATGACCTAGGGAGGTTAAAATAGTCACACTTTATAACAAATCATAAAATCCAATTTTCTATACTTATCTCATATTAATCTTCCTGAGTGATTAATAGTAAAGGAATAATTCAATTTTACAATTGTTTATTTATTCCAATATAAAAACACTAGCAACTAGTAATAACTCATTAAATGTCGTAAAAGGATTGTCTTATATTATACAATACTTTTACCACTTTCAATGAGACTAAGATTTTCCTTTGCCAATGAAGAATATTTATAATCATATGAAATTAATATTCTTAATTTGTGTACAGTGACTATTTCACTCACCTTGGGTCATAATACCCTGAACCATAATACATCATTACCCGCCCCTTTGTTAATATTTTTTAACAATATAAATAAAGTAAACAACAGTAAAATATCTGAATGGATGGAAAAATAAAAATATGAAAGTTATGATAGTGTTTATTTAATTATAAATACTGAAAAATACATCCAATAAATATATTTAAATAAATAAAGTATCTTAATGTTTTTGTTCAAAATACATATAAATATACATACACAAATCTAGAATAGTTTAATACAATATCAACAACCCTTATTTTTTTAATAAGAAATGAAAAATCATCAGTTTAAAATAAAAAAAGGTAATATAAGTATTTGGGTACATACATTATTATAGACCAACCATATATTATAATCTTCAAAATCAGTCCATATTAAATAATTTGCTATTTTACATATAGACATGACTAGGTACATAAATATTAAGTATCAATTTAAACTAACATCACTATACTGAATAAAAATATACATATTACAAATGTGTTAATTATTATAAACATCAGCAGACTCCACTTTTTTTCCAATTAACAATTAATAGTAATTTGTTTTGTCATAAATCTTATATCTACTACAAAAGTAAGTACATTTATAGTTATACAATTTAAAAATTTCAAATGTCCTTAATACAAAAACAATCAAATAAAAAATCAGAAGCTATTTCCATTCTTAAAATTTTCAGCATGAAACTAAAACTTTCTTTAGTAACATCAATTATTTTTCAAGTGATGTAAAACTATATCCTTAAGACTCTGAATATACACCTCTTCGTGCAAAGAATCTTTTAAATGACGAAATAATGTATATCAATTGACCCTCAGATATATCTACAGTTTAGTATGACATGAGTACTAAAATCAGTACTTATATCAATGGCAACATCGTCACTCATGACTAAAAACCCCAAACATAGTCAACAATACTTTACAAACCACAAGTAAATTCTAGATATTTTTAAAATAAATACATGTTCTGATAAAATAAAGGGCTACCTATTTCAAATCTGGATCTAGTTCATCTGCCATTATGTACTCATAAATTCTTTTGATCAAATCCACAGATTGTACATCAGCCCATCCCTTTGTTTTGGTTATAAGCTTGGCTTGGCCATCCTTTATAAATTCCAATGTTGACTGTTTGAGAGCCTTGGCAGAATGCAAGTCGGCTAGTTGAAGTGTCTCAATAGCATTGTCCACTGTCAATTTCTTATGCAATGCTTCCTCACACAAGCTCTTCAGTCTACTCAGTTGATAGTAATCTGAGGCTGCTAAAAGTTTCTCTGGTATTTCATCCACCCGTGGAGCTTTATCACTGTATATAAACATCAAGACCTCCCGCAACACATCAGAGTCTAGCGGTGATTCTACAATATTTGTTATGCATTCCACAGTATTATGCTCAAAGTGTGCCTTCAGTACAGCACTTCTGCTTGCCAGTACTGCTTTGTGTACCTTATATTCAACACCTTCAGCACATTTCATGGTTACATCAGAAAATAGACCATTATTCAAAAGATCTTCAAAGTCATTACTCAATTGGGCTTCAGGTACATTCGTTCTATCAACTTTAATGTCATTTGTGACCATAAACTGGAATTTAAGACGCAAGCTACCATCACTGAGAAGAAATATATCACGGCCCTCGTAACTCGCTATATCGCGTTTGAATAAAGTGGCCAAGTACTGCCACTTGTTTGCTTGAACAGTATGATACTCTTTTATAACGATCGAACGTTCCTCAAAACGTTTCAGACATATAGTCAATATAGATTTGAGAAACACTGGCGTCGAAGATAGGTAATATATTTCTATTATATCATTATCTCTTCCCAAGAATTGCATTTTTAATTGAAACCTACAATCACTTATTTCTGTGTTGGGATCTTTTGGTTTTTCTGTACGAAACTCTCTAGTGGATTTATTTTCTAACAGATTAATGAAATTTGGCACAGTCCATATTATTGTATTGATTTTGGTTTGCCCTTCAGTACGGGTAGTGTAGTTTATGTTAGACATTCTTAATCTATTGTAAGGAATATTGCAATCCATACCACTCAGCCAATATTCACAAGGTTATATTACAATCACAGCAATATATCCAAAGTTATGTTTTAATCGTTTCCATATCACAAATTATACTGTTATGTGTGTAATAAACAGTATTTATAAACAAATTTTGAAACAAGAAAATAATATCGTCTTATCTAATTATACAAAATAACAATTAATATTAGAGAACACGTAATTCCCGATAATGGATATTTTCTTATCAAAATTTCAAAACAATAAAAGTGACATTGAGGTACTCTGTGAGACTGGTGATATGGTATGATAAAGTACTCTGTGACGATGACACTGACTGGTATACTGAACAGAACAATTATTTTCTTATGGGGTCATTACATTATGAAATATAGCAAGATTATTTAATTATTGTAATGAAATAATTGTACTAATTAATATGCTGTTTTATACAAATATAAAAACGGCATTAAAACAAACTGTTGGGCGACAGATTAGTAAATCACAGAAACCACACTGACATTTTTATACCGTATCGCACAAATTACAAAGTCTATTACAGTGATATCATATATTCAAACAAGTAATTATTTAGTATTATTTATTTTACACTTTTGTAAGACGTCAAATATATTAAGTGATTCGCCATCCGGAATGCCGTAGCCTTTCTGTAATCCGTGTGGGTTGGACGGCGTGACGCAGCTGAGGTTGGATTCCTTTCTCAATACTTGGTCTACCTCTACCGAAGTAAAAAATGCCACTGATAGCGGGAGATCATTTATACCCACTCTGAAATAATAATAATTGTTCAAGATAATTTGAACCTAAAATACATAAACACAAATATTTTGTAGCAGATATGTAATTTTTCTTTGTAATGGCAACAATAGACAATTTAAAAAGTTTTATTCATCCCTTTCTATTTCTAACCGTCAAGCCATATAAACTGTACTCCTGTAAAATAATTATAAAATATATAGTCCTATCAAAATAAAACCATATGTTGTTTTAACAATCCAATAATAATAATAATCTTAGAACAATTCACACAACGCCACCTAGACCCAAGTTATGCTAGATAAAGTTTGTGTTATAGTTACTAGATTACTGACACCAATACATAGATTTTTTTTTCGTAAATACATACGTATTATACGTAGAAAACACACAGACCGATACAAAAATCATACTCATGAATACAAATGTTTGTGCCGTGCAAGAAATCGAACCCGCGACCATCGGAGGTAAGGCGGTGTGCTAAATCGCTGTACCACCAGGACCGTCAAAGTATAAAATATAAAAAGTTACTTTTTATGTATGTAGATAAATGAAATTGCAAACAAAATCTAAAATCATTAACTTTACCGCTGTGAACAGAAGGCCTTCGTGAGTAAGTTGGTTATTTGCAACGCTAGTGCCGTTTCATATTTTATATCCTCGGGCACCAGATATCTTACTTCATCGTGGAAACTGAGACAAAATCTAAAAAAGATAGTTAATCAAGTTAATCATTAGGATTCGGAGAAACGTCACGCTACAATCTAACACAACAAATGTATATATAAAGAGGAATAAATTACTGCACGTGTGTAAACTCAAAGCGACAGATAACGAATGCAATCTTATCTAATAAAAAAATCATTAGGATTACGCCGTTACCAGTATGACTGGATGAGAAGGAAACATTCGCTGGCAATGGCGGCTCTATCGATTAGTATAATTAATAAATGACCCTCGAAACTATCGCGGTAATTTCATGAATTCTCACATCAATACATCCATATCTTTTTATTCTTTCAGCCTTCACTTATGTTCCGAAGCACTATATCATTAACAAGGTTGAGTCAAATCCTACGGTTATTTGTTACATTTTTATGTTTCAACGGATAAAAAGATAAAAGATGGTTTAAAAAAATATTCGTAGTTGTCTTCTGTAACAGTTCCACAATGAAATTATTACTTGTTAACAGAGGTCAAGGTGTCAACAATGGTCAATGTGTCAAAAAAGAACAACGTGTCAACAGAGGTTAAGGTGTCAACAAAGGTCAACGTGTCAAGAGAGAACAACGTGTCAACAGAGGTCAAGATGTCAACAGAGCTCAACGTAACATAAGAGATTAAGGTGTGAATAGAGGACAACGTGTTAACAAAGGTCAAGGAGTCAACAGCTGACCTGGCAGTCGGCGCGAGGTGCGCGAGGCTGACCAGCATGAGGTGCAGGAAGTCAGCGGCGGCGCTTTGCACGGCCCAGTTGAGGCGCGTGGAGCCCCACCGACCGCGGGCGTGCTCCAGCGCACGAGACAGGCGCCCCTCGAGGAACGCCGTCGACGGGGACTCCGACTCTACAAGCGACAGAGGGTTTTTATTAAATAGATGATATGTAATATTTAGAAGAATGAAATGGGAAGGTTAAAAAGTGACTTGTGCTATATGTAGGGTGTAAATGTTGATACATTTTGTAGTGTTCACTTATATCTCCTGGTACATAAATTGTTATCGACATAATACCGGCTCGTGAGCCATAGCTCCATGTCTTTTCTCTACGGGGAATACATATCTCCCCTCTTACGCACAGCGCCCCGTGTACGCTCAGCGCGCGACGACAGTTAATGAACCTTTAGTGGTAGCGCCTACACTACACATATACAATATATATTCTTGGGGGGAAGGGAATTGTTAGTAATGTGGACTCATGACCCAATTACTAGCAATGTACCATGTCAGGGTGACCTCCACGCGGTGCCTCCTGTATAAATTCCCGGTGAATTTGTCACGATGGGCTAACTGACCTGACCTCATGATCATTTTATCATCCTCCACCGGTGCCCCGTCAGCGTAAACCGTTAGCGCAGACGGATGCACCATTCAATTTTCATCCATGAAAAAAAAAAATTGTTATACTACCCAGTTATACCCACACAGTTAGCAATAAAGATTATATAGATAGATTCTATTCTATTTTATCACTGCCTAATCACATATTACAACCGAAACACAGCTTACAAAGAAGCTGTTCGGGGACTGGTTATACCCACGTACACGATTTTTTAGTCTATTTCTTGTACTGTACATAGGGTCCATGACTTGCAGATAGTATAGAAGGCACAAAATATATTTTTAATAATAATGTTAATAACTATTGTCTAATTTGGAGCCAATTTTAGGGTGGTATTATATTATTCATTATTAGTTGTTTATACATGTTAGTTTGTCATAAATATTTAATGTTAGTACCTACCAGCTATTTCCTCTAGTTTGTTGAACATATCGGATTCCGTGCCGCCAATCCACCTCGGCCTCTCGAACATTTCCTCCACCTTTTTGCCGCTAAGTTTCGCCAATCTCAACGCTTGGTAACCGGGCATCTCTACTGACTGCCATGTAAATTTATTCATTTATAGAATCCAAGAACATACACATTTTATACAAAAACAATAAAATGGTACAGTCCTGTAGTATAGTTAATAATAGATAAGAAAAAAAATAATCTGATTTTTATTTGTTCACCTAGGAGTACTTGTATTTTGGCCAGAAGTTCCCTCTTCAGGCAGAATACGTCATCGCTTGTATCTAGAAGCTTTAGGGCTAATTAGTTAGGGTGTTATTCAAGTCTGTGCATGTACATCTCACACACAATACATCTACAAGTTGCAGCGTGATGTCAAACATACTTTAATACTCTCCAACAATAGTTTTTTTTTATGAAGATAATGGAATGGTGTGTCCGCCTGCACTAACGCTTTGCGCTTGCAGGGACCGATGGAAGATGTTAGGATGAGCATGAAGTCAGGTCAGTTAGCCCATCGTCACAACTTCACTAATGATTTGTCATGATGGCTTCCAGGGGGAACCACGTGGAGGTCAACCTAACATGGTACATTGCTAGCAATACGATCATCAGTCCACATTACTTACAATACCCTCCCTTCCCTCCCCCCCAACTATTGAATTATGAAATTCGACTAGCTTCAGAGATTTGTGTGTAACAAACGTACATGTGTACAACAACACAACAAGAACATACCATATATTAGTAGTATAAAAATGTATATATAAAAAGGGATGGTCAAAATATAAGTCTAAGTGATTGGAAACTGACCTCTGATCCTATGTCTTCATCCATGAATCCCTCCATATACTTCTTTTTAAGGGTATAGACCCTCCGTCCCTTGGTTGAGGTAAACATTTTGGCAGCTTTACTCTTAGCTTCGGATATCGTCATGGTCGGGTTGAATTGCTTCAATAGTCTTTCAGCGAAGTTTTGACCGGCGCCTAATAATTATTACGAATATAGAAATTACTTGATACATAACATCCAAACATGTATATATTAAACAGGATGGCCTTGGTGATCTAGCGCTTTAACACACCGCCTTATTACCGATGGTCGCGGGTTCCATATCTCGCAAGGTACAAACATTTGTCTTTCTACAATTTTTGGTATCGGTTGTTTTAGATGTATATTATTATATTTACACAAAAATAGTAGCTATGTATTTACATCAGCAATGATAGTTGACAGCGTGAAATGGCGAAATTGGAGAAACGTTTATTTCTTTAAAAAACTATTTGGTTACTAATAACATAGTGTTGGTATGACCTAGTAAGCATAGAAATGCCTGTGTCTGGTACATCGTGCTTTTCCATATAAATTGTCATGTGTTTGTTTTTTTTTTAGATTATTTAAGACATTAGATACCAAATATATAAACTAAAGCAAAAGTTACTTATTAGAAATTAAGTATAAAAATAATAATAATAATAAGTTTACAAGCGGCACGTTTGTTTGAATATATATAAACAAGAAACATTTTACAAAAGGTTTGATATAAGCTATGGAAGAGTGGAGCCTCCTGGCCCAGGCATCTCTATGTTTAAAAGGAGTCTTCGACAACTGTAGAATGTAATTGTAAAATTGAGTTATCGAAATAAAGAATTTTAAATGTTGTGTGTGTGTGTGTGTGTATGTCTGTGAGAGTATGTGTGTGTTTGTGTGTAGTTACTGTGATAATTCATAGATGACGTTATTTTCTCTACGTTATATACGAAAATCGTCGCGATCGAAGTTAGATGATCAGCCCACAGTTGTCTAGTATGGATACTGTGTTATGGATAACACAAGCTCTACTACTACTACTAGATAGCGCTG